GCACGCTAGCCCACGTGGGTAGCGGGCGTGTGATTCACCTTAGCACGTCATTGAGCCGACGCCAAGGAAGACGTAATGTCTTCAGCTCCCAATAGTTAATTGGGAGGCGTGGAGGGGGCGTGGTAAAAGTGCGTGGGTGCTAAAAGCGTATACAATATACGGAGACCACACGGGAGATTAGTTTAATGATTGACAGAATGTCAATAGAGATGTGTACAATGTAGTCTAATGTGTTCCCATACAATCCCCACAAAGCAAATCAAAACCAGAACCAACATCTCAATGAATGATGAGAGAGATGAACGCAATGAAAAGATATTAAATGTGACTGACTTGGCCCCAAATTGTAACACATAAAAAGTGTAATCAAAATCATCAAATTCACTGAGGATATGTATAACCCCAACTTAAGTACTTATTAATTATGGAGTTGGTAAATTTCAATGGGGCATAATTAGTGGAAAAATAAATGGGGAAATTCAACCTATCTATTCATTGGGTAGCAGGCAGGATATTCAGTCCATTCCCCATAGGAAAAACATGAAAAAAAGTAATTAAACAGCTTAGGAAAACCACTCTTATTAAATAATAATAGAAATAATAATACAAAAAATAATATGTGTAAATAAGTACCCTCCATATATATTATATAAGTACTAAAGAACATCACATTAATAATGAACACCGAAACACATCATGACCTTAAGCAATAACAAAGAGCCTAAATTACAGCTTCAAAAGGGGGGGGTGGGACAACTATATACATAGTGAAGACTGAATATCTAGAACTGTCCATTGTACAGGACCACAAGCACTCGGAAGGGAGCAGATATGCCCGCTTTCCATAACCGAATGCAGTGCAGAGTGTATCCATATTCAATTTCAGATGAAAGGGGAGAAGGAGAAGCCTTCATTAAGACCTCTGGGGTGTAGAGTGTTGAGTTTGTATATCCATCTGCACTCCCTCTGGCGCAGAATTTTATCAAAATCTCCCCGTCTAAGTTCGCGTTTAACCAACTCAAGACCGCAGAAGCGTATATTCTTAGATGAGCCATCGTGATATTCTTTAAGATGTCTAGAGATAGGAGTCTCTATGCGATTTTTAGTACATCTCACATGTTCTTTAATGCGCTCTTTAAAGGGCCTGAATGTCTTCCCCACGTACATCAGTTTACAACTGCACGTGAGGAGATGCTACTGAGTTGCAATTAAAGAAATGTGTAATCTGAAATGATTGTTTTCCTTCGCTATCTTTAACATTTTTTGGAATCCCTGATGACTGTCCCACTTGAGGAGAGAGTTTGATGCGGATGGTTTCCTGAAAAGAGATGTTTTAATGGAACCATCTCCGCAGATTGAAATAGACAGATCCAAGAAGTTTAAGGAGGAACCCCCAAATTCTGAGGTGAATCTGAGATTATCCTCGTTAATGTTAAGAAGGGCAACAAAATTATTGAATTCATCCATGTCACCTTGCCAGATGATCAGGACATCATCAATGTACCTATACCATGAGGTGATTTTAGACATGAAAGGTACCAGTATGCTAGTGGTCCTGATTTGTTCTTCCCACCAACCAAGGTGGAGGTTGGCGTAGGATGGGGCACAGGCCGTGCCCATCGCCGTACCCCTCACCTGGTGGTAGAACTTCTTATTAAACAAAAAGAAGTTATTTTGTTAGAATGAACTCTAAGAGGCTGATGGTGAATTCAGTATGTGTCTGGTGTTCGGTACCTCTTTGAGTTAGGAAGTGTCTGATGTGTTCAAGACCCCTTTGGTGTGGGATGGAAGAATACAGGGCCTCAACGTCGAGGCTACATAATTTGGATGTGGGTGAGATATGTAGATTGGATAGGAGGTGCAGGGCCTGCTTTGTATCCCTGATGTAAGAAGGGAGGCATTCTACAAAGGGTCTGAGAATGCGATCGATATATAGACTCCCATTTTGGGTCAAATTATCGATCCCCGAAACTATGGGGCGGCCTGGAGGATTCTGAAGGTTTTTATGGACTTTAAGGAGGCAGTAGAAGGTTGCTATCCTAGGGCAGTAGTTGAGGATGAAGCGATATTCCTCGTCAGATAGCAACCCCCCACTGCGTCCCTCATCCAGAATCTCTTTGTAGCTATTGAGAAAGGAATTTGTAGGGTCTGTCTGCAGGACCGTGTATGTGTCCCTATTGCTGAGGACATCCTGTACCATTCTTACATAGTCTGGTTTATCCATCAGCACCACATTACCCCCCTTGTCTGCCTGTTTGATAACAATAGTGTCATTATCTCGAAGAGTTTTTAGAGCCTTCTGTTCTTGGCGGGAGAGGTTTTCATTAGGAAAGGAGGCAAAGTTCGTTGTTTCTATGCTATCAATCTCATATTTTACTGCTTCCAGGAACAGATCAATGTTCCTGAAGGACGAGAAGTTAGGGGTGAAGCGACTTTTGGGCTTTAATTTTGTATACCTAAGAGGCATTTGTGTATCGTTATCATCCAACAGGGCTACCAGATTGTGCAGGCATTCAACATCTCCAACTGAAAGGCCAAGAGATCTTGCCTTTTTCTCTTTGTTTAGTGCATGAAATTTATGTAGTGCTAATTTCCTCACAAACAAGTGTAGGTCTTTAACCCAGGTGAATTTGTCAAAGGAGGGTGTGGGGACAAATGATAAACCCTTTTCCAGGACCCTACAGTGAGACCTCTCAAGGTGAAAGGATGAGAGGTTGATGACCTGTGAACTCGGGGTACTCATGGGGTCAGGGATAGATTCAATCGCTAGTATCATCTCCTTCTTCCTCTCTCCCCCCATCTCCCATCTCCCCCTCCCTGATTTCTCGATTGATAACGAGTCCGATAGTTTGGGTATTCCTCCTGGTGTCCCATTTCTAAAAAATCAACCCCTTTTTTTAGGATGCTGCATTTTGTTGCCCTTCTTAACATTAACGAGGATAATCTCAGATTCACCTCAGAATTTGGGGGTTCCTCCTTAAACTTTTTGGATCTGTCTATTTCAATCTGCGGAGATGGTTCCATTAAAACATCTCTTTTCAGGAAACCATCCGCATCAAACTCTCTCCTCAAGTGGGACAGTCATCACCCGAGGTCCCTTAAATAGGGCATTCCAACGGGACAATACCTTAGGCTTCGACGGAATTGCTCTGACCTGGGGGACTTCCAAATTAAAGCTAAGTCCCTGCGCCAACAATTCAAAGACAAAGGCTACCCAAATATATGCCTTAAAAGAGCCTACAAAAGGGCTCTGTTGACAGACAGGACAGAACTACTGTCGGACTCATTAAATGCCAACCCTGGTATGAACAAAACTATCAGGATGATTGGCACATTCGACACTGGGTGGAATGTAATAAAAGAGTCTCTCCAGAAATTCTGGCCTATCCTCCTTAGGGATTTACACTTGAAAGAAGTACTGGGTCCACGTGTCACCATTACAGCTAGGAGGGGTAAAAACCTTCGTGATATGCTGTCCCCCAGCCACTTCTCCTGCAAACAGAACCCTCAGACTACATGGCTGGGGCGCCAAACACCAGTGGGTACCTTTCAATGCGGAAGATGTGTAGTGTGTAAATTTATTCTAAGGGATTCCAAAAATGTTAAGGATAGCGAAGGAAAACAATCATTTCAGATTACACATTTCTTTAATTGCAACTCAGTAGCATCTCCTCACGTGCAGTTGTAAACTGATGTACGTGGGGAAGACATTCAGGCCCTTTAAAGAGCGCATTAAAGAACATGTGAGATGTACTAAAAATCGCATAGAGACTCCTATCTCTAGACATCTTAAAGAATATCACGATGGCTCATCTAAGAATATACGCTTCTGCGGTCTCGAGTTGGTTAAACGCGAACTTAGACGGGGAGATTTTGATAAAATTCTGCGCCAGAGGGAGTGCAGATGGATATACAAACTCAACACTCTACACCCCAGAGGTCTTAATGAAGGCTTCTCCTTCTCCCCTTTCATCTGAAATTGAATATGGATACACTCTGCACTGCATTCAATTATGGAAAGCGGGCATATCTGCTCCCTTCCGAGTGCTTGTGGTCCTGTACAATGGAGAGCAGTTCTAGATATTCAATCTTCACTATGTATATAGTTGTTCCCCCCCCCACCCCCCTTTTGAAGCTGTAATTTAGGCTCTTTGTTATTGCTTAAAGGACCACTCTAGGCACCCAGACCACTTCAGCTTAATGAAGTGGTCTGGGTGAAAGGTCCTTCTAGGGATAACCCATTTTTTTATAAAAAAACTGCTATGTTTATCAATGGGTTAAGCCTTCCCCCTAATCCTCTAGTGGCTGTCTCATTGACAGCCACTAGAGGCGCTTGTGTGCTTCTCACTGTGATTTTCACAGTGAGAGCACGCAAGCGTCCATAGGAAAGCATTGTAAATGCTTTCCTATGCGACGGGCTGAATGCGCGCGCAGCTCTTGCCGCGCGTGCGCATTCAGCCCAGGAGGAGGAACGGAGGAGGAGAGAAGGAGGAGAGCTCTCCGCCCAGCGCTGGAAAAAGGTAAGTTTTTAACCCTTTCCCCATTCCAGAGCCGGGCGGGAGGGGGTCCCTGAGGGGGGGCACCCTCAGGGCACTATAGTGCCAGGAAAACGAGTATGTTTTCCTGGCAGTATAGTGGTCCTTTAAGGTCATGATGTGTTTCGGTGTTCATTATTAATGTGATGTTCTTTAGTACTTATATACTATATGGAGGGTACTTATTTACACATATTATTTTTCGTATTATTATTTCTATTATTATTTAATAAGAGTGGTTTTCCTAAGCTGTTTAATTACTTTTTTTCATGTTTTTCCTATGGGGAATGGACTGAATATCCTGCCTGCTACCCAATGAATAGATAGGTTGAATTTCCCCATTTATTTTTCCACTAATTATGCCCCATTGAAATTTACCAACTCCATAATTAATAAGTACTTAAGTTGGGGTTATACATATCCTCAGTGAATTTGATGATTGTGATTACACTTTTTTTTTTTTTTTTTAATTCTTTATTTTATTTGACAAAGTATTTTAGAACAAGGCAAGATGTTCCGTTTTAAGCATAAACCGTGGTCAAGTATAACATAACATATTACAGCATAGGCATACAGTTGATAAGCGTGGTAGACATCAGATGTTACAATAAGTGCCTGTAGCACAGGACTCTTTATTAGTGGGCTTGGACATCATTTTTGTGCTGTCAATTTTTATTGTATATTGAGTCAGTTACAGGTGGCCAGAGCGTGAAGGTGGGTTTCTGTAGGCATTCGGTGGTGCCTATCCTAGCGCTATTGGAGGGTTTCGGGGTACCGTTGGGCGATGAGATATCTCTTAATGATGCTGTGGAGTCTCCAACTATGTTAGATACAGGTGACGGCCCTTCTGACTTGTTCCAGCTGCAAATTGTCCCCTGTATTGTGGAGCCCGCGCTCAACTCCTGCTTTGTACTAGATAAGGCTGAAATACATTTTGGCCTGACTGGGCCCCCCTCCACTCCCTGGCGCCTACCTGCCTGGCGTGTGAATTCGTGCGTGTTTGCGCTGATAGTTCGCTTCAGTGTGCTATCATTGCCTGCGTGTGCTTAATGTGTATATTGTGTCAAGCGGGCCCTCGTCTAAGGCGAGGACCCGGGTAAGAAGATAAGAGAAAGGTAGAGTGAAGATAGAGAGGAGGGTGGGGGGGTGGATGGACCAGGCGCCCGGGCAGGCGGGGGGAGCTCAAGGGGACGAGGGGGGGGGGAAGAAGGAGGCAGGGAGAGGGCGGCGGGAAGGGGGGAGGGCACCAAGCAGACTAGCATCCTCCGCCTCTCGGACCCCCCGGGCCGCGGCCCCGCCAAGCACAAGGACGGTTACTCCGCCAGGGGGCAGTCCTTCCAGCGTCCCCACGTCCTTTCGAAAGCCTTTTGAGTACTGCGCACCCTTGCTGTGAGGTCGTCCATTAGGCAACTATCTTTTATTCTCCCCAGGATCGCTGCCCTGGTGGGGGGCTGCATTTTTAACCAGCGTTGTGCGAGGGCTCGTCTGGCCGCCAATGTGATTTTGTTGAATAGTTTTAGGTCATATTTGGGCCATTCGTCAATAGGTCTGCCCAGGAGGTATGTCCACGGGTCAAGGGCGGGTGCCCTCTGGAATACCTGTCCCAGTATGTCTCTAACGTCTTCCCAGTACCTGCGGGCGACGGGGCACCCCCACCACATGTGGATGTATGTGCCCCGCAGACCACAGTTCCTCCAGCAAAGGTCAGTGGGTGTCTTTCGCATGCGATGGAGTTGTACTGGGGTGGTGTACCATCTAAAGAGGGTCTTGAAAGATTGTTCCTGGAAGGAAACACAGATGGAGGAGGTGGCCGCCGTCTCCCAGATATCCTGCCAATCCACTCCCTCTAATACCTCACCCAGGTCCCTCTCCCATTGATCAGTATATGTGAGGTTGCCCCATTCTTTGGTTTCTGAGCATATGTGCGCGTATAACAGCGTGATTAGGCTTCTGGGAGATTGCTCTTTAAGGCATATGTTTTCAAAGAAGGTGGGGGATGTGAGTGCGGCCTTTTTTGTGTGCGGTTGCCTGGCGTAGTCTGCGATCTGGAGGTATCGGAAAAAATCGGCCGGGGTTAAGTGGTGTCCCTGCTTTATGGTGTCAAATGGGATGATGGAACCCTCCACATATAGTTGGCAAGCTCTCTGCAGGCCCGTATGTTCAATGTTTCTGAAAGCTTGTGGCACTAATCCAGGTGGGAAGGCCCTGTTTCTGAGATAGGGCATGAGGGGGGAGGGGGAGGATGATAGTGATTACACTTTTTATGTGTTACAATTTGGGGCCAAGTCAGTCACATTTAATATCTATTCATTGCGTTCATCTCTCTCATCATTCATTGAGATGTTGGTTCTGGTTTTGATTTGCTTTGTGGGGATTGTATGGGAACACATTAGACTACATTGTACACATCTCTATTGACATTCTGTCAATCATTAAGCTAATCTCCGGTGTGGTCTCCGTATATTGTATACGCTTTTAGCACCCACGCACTTTTACCACGCCCCCTCCACGCCTCCCAATTAACTATTGGGAGCTGAAGACATTACGTCTTCCTGGGGGTCGGCTCAATGACGTGCTAAGGTGAATCACACGCCCGCTACCCACGTGGGCTAGCGTGCTCGCATGCTTTCCCCCCCCTCCCTCCTCCCCCCCCCTCTCCCTTGCCCTCTCCCTCCTCCTTCCCTACCTTGATTGGACACCGAACTGATGTGTCCAGGGAGGGAGGGTTGAAGGATGGCGATTGGCGGCTGGGACTTTAGAGGCGGGCCGGTCCCCCCCTTTTTAACATGGCCAGGTAGGCAAACACTCTTTAGCTCTTGATAAAGGCGTTTCTATACGCCGAAACGCGCGTCGAGCATAACAGAATGCCGATGCATTCTTTTTGATTCTGTGTTTTTTTTGTTTTTTGATTTGCTTCTTCATCCGTGTTAGGGTTCGTTTGGGCAGCTTGGGGGCTCAGTGATAGGGATAACCTTGAGGCTGCCTCGAAGCAGCAGGTAGTGTACCTGGTCACCCTGTGTTTAAGTTCAGGGCTATTTAGGTTGTGGACAGGACGGTGTCTGGAGGTTTCTTGGCAAGAAGTTACATCTACATGTATGCTTTTCTATACCTTGGCATATGTATGCGTATATATACCTCCCGAACTAACCATCTGGATTAACGGTCCACTTTACATACACCTATGTGTTAGCCTGCACTAGCAACTACTCTGCTCCCTCCAGGGGCACCATCACTACCAAGGCTTACTTTATATCTCTACCTATATTACCCCTCTGCCCCTATACTAGATCTCTGGCAGGATTGATTGGTTAAGACTAACATTATATTTTTATTTTTTTAGCGACCATTCTTGGTCTCCAGCACTTTGCAATTGTGTTTGTTCTAGTTAGCATTTGTGAGTTTATATCTCACTAACCCATACTCTCTGTAAGGGGTATTCCCCTCCTGGCCATTTTTAGAGCCAGTTAGATTTTATTACTATTTGTGTATCTTCTGTTTTATTAAAGGTACAAATACCCATGTTTTTCCCCTTTTTTTTCTTTTTCCTTTCCCTCCCTATGCAAGTACATTTACTTTAGGGGTATAGATTATTGAATGAACAGTTTTCCTCCTTCATATCTGTATGTATGGTGGCCTTCTAGCTCATTCTCTTCCTTTTTTCTATATTCAGAATATGTTTATTCCAAAGAGAACAATGAATAAATGTATATCTTATACAAAAAATGAACTCTAAATAAATTAATTTGCGGTGTAATAGAGTGAAATTGCTACATTTTAAAGCGGTCAACTTCTGTTTATTTAAGTTTGATTCTAGTTATCAGTTTCCTCTGACTGAATCCTATGATTGGAAGGAAGATTAGGAACCATTCTGTATGCTTTCAGAGGTGAAATGAGCATCAATGTTTTTCAAAGTTGGCCTCTGAAAATAAAAAGATAAAGGTAAACATTACTGACAGGCCAACATTTGCAATTGATTAACAATAAATGACAAGAAATCACAAACTGGCCCACTACGCTAGTGATTTTAAATTGTCTGCTACGGGAACACAAGTAACATGGAGACACTATGGTCAGAGCAATATGATCTAGCGATTATTTAATAACTTGGCTATCGTCAGATTAACAGGCTACTTGTTGATTTTTTTTAAATATAATCAAATGTGAAGAAATTGGCAGAAAATGTTTCCTAGAGAACCAAAGTTGATATTTAACAATATCCGGATTTGGCAATTCAGTCACTGAAGTTAAAATCTCCACGGCAGTGTGAGGCTTGCATTTGCTAGCCAGCCACTACATTAAATAGTTGAATACATAAATTAATAGAAACCCTATTAGGGTAAAAAAAAAACATATATACTATAAGGGAGGTTTAAAACTTCCCTGTGCCCCAACTTGCCCTGTGGCAGGTGTGGGCATATCTACTAACTGTTTAAAATTAGCAACTGGGAAGCCAATGCTGCCCAGTCACTAGAAAGGCCCCATCCTCTAAAATGACTTGGTCCTCCAGTGCCCACACCCATGGGAATCAGGTAGGGGATTTTCAAATAAATATTAGGGGGTGGACAGATCTCAAATGGTAATTCATAGATTGTATCCCTATAGTTAAATAGGGGAGTTAGTGATTCTGTACAACAGAAGGCTTTCTTATTGCCCCATGAGGATCCCTCAGGGATGCTCCATAACTATTTGTTATCAGAGTAAAATTTGGTTTTGAAATACAGAATAAGTTTTACATATAGAATGAGAGAAAAAAAAGCAAAACAAAAATTGAAAACCAAAAAGTATATCTATAAATGTGAGACAGGAAATATCTATTAACCCCTTAAGGACGGCAGGCGTGCTATGCCGTCCTTGGGGACCCGGCTCTAAACGCCGGGGGGCAGCATAGCACGTCCCTGCCGTCCTATGTACTTACCCCGTTTCCGGCGATCCTACGCCGACGATCGCGGTGGGGGGGACTTACCTGGCATCCCAGGGAGTCCCCCTGCTCCCGTTCCAGCCCTCCTGGGCCATGTGATCGCAAGGTCCTTGCGAGGACCTCACGGTCACATGGACAGCATAGCCGTCCACAGCAATGCCAGCAGGGGGAGTGCCTGTAATTACAGGTACTCCCCCTGCTGCCTGAAATAAAAAAAAAAGTTAAAACACAGTTTAAAATCAAATATATATAGTTTTATCATATATATATATATTATATATGTGATCTAAGTATACTTATACACATACACTGTCTAAGTGTATTTTAATATTTATATATATATATGGCAGGCTTATGCAATGTATGATCATATAATGTAACTAAACCCCCGTTATTTTTGCCTAGATTAGGTGTTTTTAAAAAAAACAAATAAAATCTTTCAACATTGAAGTTGTTGTTTAGTGGATAGGTGAGTGCGCTGGGTCTTGTGTATTGTATAATTTGGCCCCCAGCAGCACCCCTATTTATGCATTTTCAGGTGAGTGCAGCCCCCCTGTTTCATATATATATATATATATATATATATATATATACACACACACACACACACAGACACACACATATATATATATATATATATATATATAACCAAAAGTAAAGGGAGCACACTAGGACTGCTTCTGAGTGGCAAAAAATAGTCTTTACTGTATTATAAAATAATACATGTCCTGTGCAGAATACAGACAATCGACGTTTCGACCCTCCTGGGGTCTTTATCAAGATCCTAGGCAATTTTTAAACTCGTTTGAATAAGTTTGAGGAGGAATGCCTTGCCTATCTACTATTGTACATTATATATATATATATATATATATACACACAATAGCAGTAGAGAGCACTCAATTCATCTGTTGCTTTATTGATCAATTACAAATTCACACAACATTCCAGTCGACGTTTCAGTCTGTAAAAGACTTTACGTATTACGTATATACTTCACACGTATATATAATAATTCTGCATATATATTTATGTAATAATTTTACATAATTAGATCATTTTATTAATTACAATTTGTGGGACCTGCCTGTATATTCAGGCCGAAAGTCCAGTGAATTT